TGATTTGCATTTCCCTGATGGTAAGTGATGATGATCATCTTTTCTTGTATCTGTTGGCCATCTGTATGTCTTCTTTGGAAAAATGTCTGTTCATGTCTTCAGCCTATTTTTAAATTGGATTATTTGTTTCCTGGGTATTGCATTTTGTAAGTTCTTTATATAATTTGGATACTGACCCTTTATTGGATATGTCACTTGCAAATACCTTCTCCCATTCTGTAAGTTGCATTTTAGTTTTGTTGATTGTTTCCTTTGCTGTGCAGAAGCTTTTTATTTTGATGTAGTTCCAATAGTTTATTTTTGCTTTTGTGTCCCTTGCCTCAGGGGACCTGTCTAGAAAATAGTTACTGTGGCCGACGCTAGAGAGGTTATTGCCTGTGCCCTCTTCTAGGATTTTTATGGTTTCAGGTCTCACATTTAGGTCTTTAATCCATTTTGAATTTATTTTGTGTATGGTGTAAGAAAATGGTCGAGTGGCATTCTTCTGCATGTAGTTTGTCCAGTTTTCTCAACACCATATGTTGAAGAGACTGTCTTTTTTCCCATTGCATATTCTTTCCTGCTTTGTCAAAGATTAATTGACCATATAATTGCGGGTTTATTTCTGGGTTTTCTGTTCTGTTCTCTTGATCTGTGTGCCAGTGCCATACTGTTTTGATTACTACAGCTTTGTACTATAACTTGAAGTCTCGAATTGTGATGCCTCCAGCTTGGCTTTGCTTTTTCAAGGTTGCTTTAGCTGACAACTAATGTTGACTAAAAGTGGTGAGGGCAGATATCCTTGCTTTGTTCCTGATCTTAAGAGGGACACATTCAGTCTTTCACCCTAAGTATATCAGCTCTGTGTTTTATGTAGATGTCCCTCATCTGGTTGAGGAAGTTCTCTTCTATGCCTAATTTGTTGAGTGTTTTTATCATGAAAGAGTGTTGGAGTTTGTCAAATACTTTGTATCTATTGAGATGGTCATGTGGTTTTTGTTTTTTATTTTATTAATATAGTGTGTTACATTTATTCATTTCAGATGTCAAACAAACCTTGCATTCCTGGGATAAACCCCACTTGTTCATGGTATATAGTCCTTTTTCTATATTGCTGAATGCAGTTTGCTATTATTTTGTTAAGGATTTTCCATCTATATTCATTTTTTTAATTAAAAAAGTCTAAAAGTAATCTCTATGCCCAACATGGAGCTCAAACCCACAACCCAGAGATCAAGAGTCACATGCTCTACCGATTGAGCCAGCCAGATGCCCCTCGATGTATATTCTTAAGAGATGTTGTAGTGATATGTAGTTTTCTTGTGATCTTTGCCTGGTTTTGGTATCAGGCTAACACTTGCTTCATATAAAAA